TCATACAGAAAAATTTAGTAATGGCAACTGTTTACTCAGCGCTAAATCTTTTGATCCCAGCACGACCTTTGGAAATGTCGAATCTCAGGTCCGAGAGAGAGCAGAGGTGAGAGAGAGAGAGGGAGAGAGAGAGAGGGAGGAGAGAGAGGGAGAGAGAGAGAGGGAGAGAGAGGCGAGAGAGAGAGGGAGAGAGAGAGAGGAGAAGAGGGAGGAGAGAGGCGAGAGAGGAGAGGGAAGAGAGAGAGGGAGAGAGAGAGGGAGAGAGAGAGAGGGAGAGAGAGAGGGAGAGAGAAGAGGGAGAGAGAGATGGGAGAGAGAGGGGAGGAGAGAGCGGAGAGAGAGGGTGAGGAGGGGGAGAGAGAGGGAGAGAGAGGAGGGAGAAGAGAGAGGGAGAGGGAGAGAAGAGGAGGAGAGAGGGAGGAGAGAGGGAGGAGAGAGAGGGAGAGAGAGAGGGGGAGAGAAGAGGGAGAGAGAGGGAAAGAGAGAGAGGGAGAGAGGAGAGGGAAGAGGAGAGGCGGAAGAGAAGGAGAGGGGGCAGAGAGAGGGGAGAGAGAGGAGAGAGAGAGGGAAGGAGAGAGGGAGAGGAGAGGGAGAAGGTAGGAGAGAGGGGAAGTAGAGAGAGGAGAGAGGAGGGGGAGAGAGATGGAAGAGAAGAGAGGGGAGAGAGAGGGAGGAGAGAGGGGGAGAGAGGGAGAGAAAAGCGAGAGAGAGGGAGAGAAAAGGAGGAGAGAGGGAGAGAGAAAGAGGGGTGTGTTGGCAGGCAACTTACATTGCGAGGCTTTTCGCTTTTGGGATCGGCTGCAGGAAGAAGGCAGCGTGGTGTTTTTGCCCGTGCGCAGTTGGATTCTTTCCCAGGCAGGCTTGGCCAGGCCGACTCCCCCGGGTGGCGAACGGGGGACCTTTCTTTTGCCGCCCAAAAAGGAAAAGAGTACAAGGCCCCAACCAGGGTTAGGGGGGAAAACCCCCCCACCCAACGAAAACTTTCCCCCTTTTCCTTTTGGGAGGGCCCCAAATTTGCCCCCCCGAAAGGCCTTTTTAATTGGCAGTTTTTGCACCCGCAGATCTTCCTCCGAGGGAGAGAGAAAGAGGGGTGTGGTGCAGGCACTTACATGGAGGCTTCGCGGATCCGCTGCAGGGAGAGCAGCGTGGTGTTGCCCGTGCGCAGATTCTCCAGGCAGCTGGCCAGCGACTCCCCGGGTGGCGACGACTCTGCGCAAAGAAGATACAGCACAGGGTTAGACACACGAACTCCTTCCTTTTGGGGGCAATTGCCCCGAAGCTAATTGGCAGTTTTTGCACGGCAGAGCGTAGCGTCAAGCAATCGACTGCTGTCTCGATCTTCTGCGCATGCGTAGATGCAAACAAAATTATGGGAAACTCGACCTGCGAATGCGCAGAAGATTTATAGTGCTGACGATAGCTTCGCCGTGCAAAAAACCACCTAACAATGGGTACCGGAGGATTGCGAACTGGACGCTCCTAGTTCCGTGTCGTGATGGTTATAACTAATGTACAACTGTGCCTAAGGAATGAGTAGCCCGCCGGCCATATTTTTGGGCAACTACGTTGATAATTAGTCCCTTAATTATAGTGAATGTTATACATTCATGGAAGATGTTTCTCACTCGCTGAAACGTGCAGTCTGGGGCCGAAATACACTCAGCTTGCAGTGTTATCACCCTTCAGGAATCTTCGTTAGAGGGGCATTGCCCCCGCCGGACAAAGCTCTAAGCTCCCGATCGGTCTCTCGACATGTGTGGCAGTGTCATGCATGTGAGTAACTGTGTGTAAGTAACGTGCGAGGTTAGGACGAGGAATAGGAAGGAAAGATCGCACGCGGTCCCTTTGTTAGAGTCCTCTCCCGGAAATCACCTGATATTTATCGGAGAAACCACAGAAAACCACCGATCATTGCAACCGGCGGCCAGAATTCACCTCCAGTCCGCGGCTGAATTCTATTCACCTACACAACTAGCGTCAAACCGTCAGCCGCCGTCGTCAACTCTACGACCTCCCAGGCAGTGATACTGCAGAGGCAAATCTGTTGCCGCTGAGCTACTGCAGCGATCTAACAGAAATCAATTTTAAGAATCACTAGTGCACAACACGCAATACTCCCAATTCGTTTTTGCCTTTAAGAAGCAAACAATATTAACTTAAAAAAGTACAATCCCGTTTAAAAAAAGCAAGCGACGTAAACCAAGGGGGATCGAAAGTAACGCAGGGTGACTTCAAGCAGCCACCTGTGCATAAAGAGCGCGGTCCGTGGCCCGGGTTCTTGGCCGCGGGGGACCGACGCGTGTGTCGCGAGTGTTGAATGCGCGCGGCACCGGGCGCTCATCCATTTGGCGGCAGCCAGCGACCTCGCGCGCGGATGCAGCGACGCAAGGCACGCACTGCGCGCACCGCTACCCGATTTCTATTCGTAGACAACAGGCCAGCCATTTCAGGAGAGAGAGAAAAAAAATACTGCACCGTCTCGTCAATGAAATGAACAAACGTTTCCTATGTCATTTCACTGAGAAACGCTTCGGTACTGCACAATGGATTATAGACGATCTCTCTTCTACTAAAACGGTCAGAAGATTTCGAGTCGAAGTGCTGAAGGTAAGTTACGTCGAAAAAATTCCTTTTTTTTGGGGGGGGGGGAGATACAAACGTCGAAAATTGGGACTTAAAGAATCGGCGGAATTGGGGTGCAAATTACGACAGCCCTGCGATCGCGCTCGATCTTACGGTGTCAGGACCGCCCGCCAGTCGGCCGTGGCCGTTGCGGTGCACTCGCTGTTAGCAAATAACTCGCGAATGACCTCACCTCCCGAGTATACTACAAGAAATAGGTAAATTATTTTTTAAAACCAGTTTCTACTGAAATTTGTGCTTCCGTAGTCAAATCGCATGTGGTATTATTTATTGCTAATTTGATGAAGAAGACTGTATTGTATCACCTGAAATGACGCATCCTGTTTTTATTTTCGATCGAGACCTTGTACAGGTAAGTACAAGTAGGTAATATTTACTTATAAATCAATAGTCGTCTACTTTATTTTATTATATATAATATTAATATAATTAATATTATATTTATTATTATTATTATTATTATTATTATTATTTTATTATAATATTACGTTTCCCATCTAAAAGCTTAAGAAAAATTCTAAATGCTCCTTGGTACGTATCAAACGCCACAATACACCGAGACTTACAAATGACAACAATAAAAGAAGAAATTAACAAGACCAGCGCAAAATACAACGACTACATAACCATCAATATACTCTTGCCATTAACTTACTAGACAATAGTGACACCACCAGACGACTTAAACTCTATCATACTTTAGACCTGACATATCGATTATAAATTGTTGTTAATCTGAAAAAATGTAATATTAGGAGTACGGTCAATGGACCTTACTCCTCCCATGTTATTAAAATTGTATGTAATTTTGCCAAATGTCCATACCTAAACAAATTGCAAAATAAAATATTATTATAAAAAAACTATATTTTAACTGTCTTCCCGACTTATTGCATTGAGTACTTTATTAGGACGGATAACGCGACCACCGACAACTCTCGGATGGTCGACAGAGGAAGGGGGGACGCACAACGGACTGCAAAGATGGACTGTAAAGTCCGGTAGAAGCCAAAGGCGAGATTATCACGAAGGTTCCAAAGAAGAAGCAAAGGTAAAGGAACAAAGGTCCTAGGAAAAGCTGAGGACAATCCTGGTGACCTACCACAAAGGAACAGGGAGCAAGAGAGACCTTATCCTCAAGAAAGGATGCAGAGATACAGGGAAGGCATAGGGGCACACGGTGACTGCCGACACAGATGGCTTGTTTACTCCGTAATTAACACCAGTTTTCTGGCGCAATGTGCTTGCTCTCTGTAAACCACCTTCCAAAGAAACCATATCTGAAATAGCGGCTTGAAGGAACTGTTGACGGACTTTTTACCGTTTAGAGTTTTGTGCTCACTTTGCATTGGGCGAATACAATTTTGGTAGGACCCGATAATTGATTTTAACACTGAGGAGTAAATATTGGGACAGTACACTAACTTTTGATCCATTGGTTATTCATGTCTTTTCACGTGCCAAAATGTTTTGCCATCGCGGCCATTTTCCAGTTGGCTGTTGAAAGACAATGAATCCAACTACTCAGGTGTCGCTCATGTGAGGAATGGACGCGGACGGATCGGGGCGCCTTTGACAGCTGGGATGGTGGGAGAAAATTTGACAGTCGTGCTAGCGTTGCCTGCAGGTGACGAGGCGATCTGGAGCTGGGAAACGGCTGACGAGCGGGTGGGGCGGAGGCGGACGACGACCGCCGCGGACGCGGGAACCGGTTTGCCGTGCAGTAGCGAACAATTGAGCGCCGGTGGGCGGTCGACTCGGCTGAGTAATGACATGCTATCTGATGTGCGGCGGTCGGCGCCCGCTCGCCAGCACCGTCTGTCACACCCACCGTCCGACCGACCAGCAGTCCGTCTAACCGCCCTACAGTCCGGCCGGCCGCCCACCAGTCCGGCCGGCCGCCCACCAGTCCGGCCGACCGCCCACCAGTCCGGCCGGCCGCCCAACAGTCCGGCCGGCCGCCCAACAGTCCGGCCGGCCGCCACCAGTCCGCCCGGCCGGCCGCCCATGGAAGACCAACGGACAACGAACTTGTTCCGAAATAAAACATATTCGAAATAATATTAATTTCCATTGTACTTTATCAAACTAAAGGACACCATCATCTTAATTAGCAAACGCCTTCATTGAGACCCCCCCCCCCAGTGGCCTTAACAAAGGCCTTTAACGGTGCACGACCACGTAAAGCATTCGTCCACTCCGCGACGCGCGCGCCGTGTGCATTCCAAAGGCGAGGATGTAGACGTATGGGGCTGATCCGCGGGTGCGTGAAAGAGGGCAGCACCTGCCGCCGTAAAGCGCGGCCGCGCCCGCTCGTCGCTCTCCGCCTGAGGGACGGGCGGCGCGACAACGCGGCCATTTGTAGGCGGCGGCGCCGGCGACGAGGACGCCGAAGGGGGCGCGGCGGCGGAGGCGGGGAGGAGCGGGGTGGCGCGTGGCGAGGCGACTGTTTCTGGGCATTGCCCTCGTGTCGCGTACGCAAAACAGGCCCCCGCCCGTGCGGCGCACCGGGCCACGCCCGCGCCTTCGGATCAGCCGCGCCCCGCGCCGGCGAAGGGGGGGAGGGGGGAGGGGAAGGGTTTGCAGGCGGCCGTTGACCGAACAGCACCCACACAGGGCACACTGCCTCGACAGGCTTTCGCCAAAAACGCTGCTTGCTACCTTGATTCGCAAATCCTGTTTAGGGCGGCGGGGGTACAGATTCCGGAACTGAAGAAAACGTGTTTAGGCTGCGCTTCTCGTCCACACCATAACTGTTTTTGTCGATAAAAAAATCAAGTAATATCAATTTTCTGATTATTTAGCACTTGCGACGGCGTTGATGGCCGAGGTCCGACTTCGGAGTTGCCCGAGTCTTTCGCGATCATTGAATCTACTGCTCGAGGAAATGCCCCGAGCCACCGGAGCAGCCCAGGACTATCTTCTCGCCCACTAAAAGGTCCACTTCAACGCAGCTGCTGTCCAATTTCACCTCTATCGGGACTCGAAGCTAGAAGCTTCCTTCATGGACAATGCTTCATTAGTGGACTCGCTGGTATACTATCGCACCCAGAGCCAAATGTTATTCTATTCAAAAGTTATTCTATTACAAAGAACTCCGACTATTTCTATTCGAAAATTTGAACCACTGGAAAATGGTTTACCTCATGATTTTGTTTAGTGGAGGATGACGTGAGATATTTTTATAAAGAGAAAAACACGAAGCTTACAAAATATTGTTTTCCAAATTGTAATCACATTTTTGTATAAAAATTGGATGAACAGGTCCTCTAAAGTATGATTAACCCCATTTTCTTGAAAAGGTGCAAATGTGAATGCACGTGTCTTTTCAAACTTTTATTGCGACCCCAATATTCTCTCCAATCCTTGCTCAGAAACGTGGAGTGGATTACGGTGGCAAATGCTTGACAGCCAGAGTCGATGGTGTTAACAATCAATATGTAATATGAAACTTTTTGCTTAGATTAGAAAATGCGAATTCCATGCGTCACCATTGTAATCATCACCCACTAATCAGGTATGTTAGAGTCACAGGGAAGGTCAATAGCTTAGTAATTGGCGCAA